TTTTCCTTTTTTCTTTTTTTAAAGCATATTCACGAACAATTTTTATTTTATTTTTTTTTTTACATATTATTCCATTAGCGAAGCAATTTTTTTTTTTTTTACTATTTACGTATAAAATATAAATATTATGAAGTTTAAGATTAAAGATTTATACGGTGTATAGCAAATTATTATTTTTTTTAAAAAACTTGTATGTCTTTTTTTTATAAATTTATACTTGCATTTTTTTCTTCCCTTCTTGATTGTAAATTTTTTTTTCCTTTCCAAATATATCAATTTAATGCTTAAGTTAAACAAATCATTCTTAAATTTGTTCATTTTAAGCATTTTGAATTCACTTTTTTTTCTTTTCTTTTTCTTTTTGCATGTAGTTATTTTCTTTTCTTTTCAGTATACAAATTATATAAATCAAATTCATTTTTTTCCTTTCTCCCACACCACCACATCATCACTTTTACTTGTTGATGTAAATTTCAACCAAAAAATACTAAAATACAAAGTAAATATAATTCTCAAAAAAAGATGAAAATTTTAAGTTATTTAATTGAAAGCTTTTTTCCAAGTGAAAATATTATCGTGAATAAACCACGTGAAGTTGTATAAAATTAATACATAAATTAAGTTTAAGTAAAATTTAAATAATTCCGGTCATAATTTTATTATAACCAACTTGAACAAATTAAACGAAGATTTACTATAATCCAAAAGATTTACGTGATTTCTGATATTAAAAAAACAACTTTCAATTTTTTTTATTTTAAAAATTGAAAAACTTCGTTTTTTTTACTTTTACAGGATATACATTAATCAATATTACAATATTAAATCCAGCCTACTCAAATTCTGATTAAGTACCATTATTTACGTATATATGGATTTTAAAGTTAAAATTAGAAGTAAAAGATTATTAGGATTGAATATATCTTTTTTTTTTTTAATTGTTGTATAAACTTTGTTTTTTAAATAATAAAATTAAAATTATATAAATTATTAAATAAAACTAAAATATTATTAAATTGCAAAACAGTTTAAATGATATTTTATCTAATAACCAATATTTATAATAATTATACTATTATATATATATTATAGTATTTTTATTTTTCCTTTACAACTTTTTTTTACATTTTTTTTTTATATTTATATATTAAAAAGTAAAAGAAATAAGAAATTATATATTTAGTTTTTTTAATAATATTTATATTTTTATATTTTAAATAATTTGAAAATAATTATAAGCTATTGTACTTTGCAATATTTAATTTTACAATTATTAATCAATAATATCAAATAATTAACAAAGATTTGGCTATATAGTAATTAAATCTGTTAAATCAGAATGCTAAAATTAGCTGTTAGTTAATAATTATAATATCTATCTAAAGTTACTGGAAAAATTAAAGGGTTTTGATAAGTTGGCAAAATGCTGAAATAGTAAAACTAAAGCTCTAATTGGTCTGGTTTTAATCTGGCAATTTGGACTGAAAATTAGGATTGGTTCAGTCTGAATTGATATTTCAACCCAAACCAAAATATTTGGTCTAATCTGATCCAGTCCTAGATTATAAATTTAACCTGAACTGAATTAAACAGGTTGGGACTGAACTGGATCAAGTAATTGTTTTTGCAATAATTTTATATTAAAACCATTGTAGTTGTTTAATTATTAAATAAAAAAATGTTGAAAATATTTTTTCAAAATAATTTAATTAAAATATATTTTTGCAATATTATTTTAAAATATTTTTCAAAGTAATTATAATTAAAAAATATTTTTGCAATATTTTTTATTATAGAACCAGATCAGACTGAATTAAATAATTGATCCGGTCTAATCCTAGATTATCTTTTAACATAATTTGAATTAGATTAAAATGAAGCAATTTTTTTGGTCTAGTCCTGAATTACTTTTCAATCTGAACCAATCTGGACTATTTAAATAAAACTTTAAGTGAAATTTTGGCAAAATTATATGGTTTATTAAAAAATTGGCAAAATTAGATCTAATATTTTGTAAAATTTTAATTAGTAGTTGCAAATAAATTATTAAGCCACTTGGAATAATTGTCAAATCAGTTTTATTTTTATAAAATCTTTGCTTAACTATATTAGTTTATATATAAAAAAAATATGAAATATTATATATTAATCAGACAATAATTTTTAGTTAAGTATTATAGTTTTCCAATAATCAATTTTTTTATCCTAAAAGCATAATTTAATTTGATTGAATGTTTTATTATATAATATTTTAATATGAGTAATTAAGTTCTATTTATTTGTTAATATATAAAAGTATTAGGGTAGATTTACATGTGAAAAGATATGAAGATTTCATTTTGCATGTGCCTTTATAAAACTCTTAGCATCATATAATAATATTAATTATGCCTCATACCTCCTTATCTTTTTTCCAGCAAAATATAAACCATGTAAGAGTATGTGGAAGTTCAGCCAACTTTCTGCAAAAAAGCTTTTCTGTAAAATAACGTAAAATAAGGTATGTATATGTTTTAAATTATGTATATATAGAAGGATTCCTCTGGGACTAAAGATGTAGTATGTAATTGATAATTACTACCTTATGTTGTAATAGTAAAAGTTGCAATCTATTACTACTTTTAAAGTTAAAGTGTTTTAATATTACAATACTTATGATTATTCAAAAATTTTCTTTTTGAAAAATAAAAATTACAAAAATAAGATTTTATAGAATAAATATTATCATAAAAAGAAATAATTAATATATTATAATACATATTTGTATAATTAAAAATAATTACAATACTATATAATAATTACAATACTAATAGTATTATAATAATACTATATAATAATTATAATATTGTGTTGCAATTACAACAAAAGTGTTGTATGTATGTTGTGCGTCAAGTGTCGATTTGCGTCAGATGCAGCTGACGTGCGTCAGATGTAAATTGATACTTGACGCGCGTCACTTGAATCACACAATAAAGTTCTCCTATAGTAAAAAAATTTTTTTTACTAATAAAATTATTTTTTATTACGTAAGTAAATTTGTTTGTTACAATAAATTACACATACTATTGTGAAATTTTATGGCTATTTAATCTATGTTTAATTAAATATTGTAAATTTACTTGAAAAAACTTATAATTTATTAATATTTTGAATGAAGTGTTTTCCATGAAACTGAGTCTAATCAATTTAATATTACAGGGTTACATATTTTTTAACAAGATTAATAAACTTATTTAATAAAGAAATTTAGTTTAAGTTTGAAAATTTTAATTTAATTATAACTTAATTTTGCATATTTTATATCACAAGTGACGCGCGTCAGGTATCAATCTACGTCTGACGCACGTCGGCTGCATCTGACGCAAATTGACACTTGACGCACAACATGTATGTTGTAATAGTTGCAACCTTATAACCTTCTAAAAATAATTATATATCACATCTTTATCTGGGACTGAGTGAATTTTCTCACTATGTGCTTTGTATTTAGGAAACAAAAAAATGGCCAATATTATTGATTTCAGGTTTAAAGTCCATAATAAATCAGATGATAAAATTTTTATGATCAAAATAGTCTAGTAAATATTAGTCAAAGATGTCATACCCATTATTAAAAAAGAAATGGCAACATAAAATAAGCAGGTTTCTGATGATATTAAGTTTTATGTGGATGATTCAAGAGGGACGGCAAAAGCATTAGAATAAAATGATATAATTTCTAAGTATTTCAATATTGATCACATTGAAGAGGGTCTTATCATCAGTAGTTAGGTTTTTTTATCTATTTTCATTATCATGTAGCGCTATAGTCGTAATTTTATGTATTATAAGCCAGCTTCTGGCAACTATTTTATTTTATAAATAAAGTATTATTATTTTATGAGAAGCAGGTCATGTATAATAATGTAATTGTTTATGCAATATAAAAATCTATATTAATACTTGCATTTTTTTCTGGATGTAACACTATTTTATATCTAAGCTAATAATTCTATAAAAATGTAACATTATGTTTACCTCAATAGCTGAACACGACTCTTAGAGGCGTGCCAGAAATCTGCTGATTTCTCTTAATTAGTAGCCTTAACCCTTCACTCCTACCTGATTGAAATCTGATTGGCTAAAAAAATTATTACTATTAAATATTAAATATTATATATAATAATTAGTTTTATATAATTATCTTGGCTTCTAGTGATTCAATTTGAACAAACTTTTTTTTGTTTTGTAAAGCTAGATTTATAGAACTAAATAAGAGCTATAAATTAAAAAAAAAGTTTATTAAAATTGGATCACTAGAAGTCAAGATAATTACATTATAATAATTATTATCCCTTAAACGGTAAAACATTGCAGGCAAATTTGCCTGCAATTTTACCGAAAATTCAGTTCTCATCTAATTTTATGAAAAATGAAGTTATTCTAATAAAATTTTTTTTCGCAAAGAGCTTNACTGACTAGTGAATAGGGGGCTTAAGGGCTATATGATATGTGAATCTTGCATTATTTTTTTTCATGTTATTTAAAATGGAATTTGAGCCTGCCTTAATACAATTGAATATAATTTCTCATTTAAAAAAAAGGTGATGGGTAAAAGATCATTGAGACTCGAGGCAAGGAATGCTAAACTTATAGAAAAAGTTGCGAAATTGGAAAAGAAGCAGTTGGAGAATATCTGTCTCTTATACACATCTAGATGTGTATAAGAGACATGTTTAGAAGTGGCATTTTGACTTTACATAGAACCCTAAAAAAAGAATTATTTTTGTGAACTTGTAAAAAATGCATAAAGTTAAATTTTATCATCTCTATTTTGTTCATTAGAGTGTGAAGTTTCATAATAAAAATAAAAAAATATATTAAAATGCTTTGTAATGAAGCAGAATATTATAGTAAAGAAAATTAATTTATTATATAAAAATTCTGATGTTA